CACACACACACACACACACACACACACACACACAGTCTTTATTTTTATTTTGACAGAATCTTTTAATTTACAGCAGAGATACTAGAAAAGATGAGCTACAATTTTTTTTATGCATAGTGGTTTTGCTAAACTATATGCAAGTCACAAGTCAAGATTAAAAGCAGGCAGTGAGAAACAGGAAATGTTGAAACACTACGTTTCCTCCACCCAATGTGTAAAATCCAATATTCTAAAGGTTAGAAAGATAAAAAGTAGTGCAACAATTTCCTACATCCCCCGTTTGACCTTGACTATGTTTCAAGATCAAAGATTTTTATTGTGCCGCCATGTGGGAGGAGCAAGTAACTTCAAACCAGAACAGGAAAAATACATTATAGTCTCCTCTGACTTGTCCATCAACATCAGTGGTGTCTCTGTAATTGTGTGCATGTTTTTTAAAGCATGGGAGTTCTATTGGGCGATGTACAGTGGAGTGAGTGCAATTAACGGAGTTGAGAGAGCATGTTATGTTTGGAAATTAGTGGAGGGAAGAGAGTGCTGTGTATGGAAATTAATGGACATTGAAAATTTATTAAATGGCCTGGAGTATTGGGTAGCACAATGGCAGTAGTGGGAAATGTGAATGTCCAGCTTAGATAGAGATTTATTGTTGATTTATTGAGATGTATTAAACATAAATGACACTATTTTGACTGAGGCTAGAAAAGACACTTGATACCATCTGTTACTAGTAACTTGTCATTCTATACATGTGCCATATAGATATTTAGCATATGAAAGCACACATATGCACATTTATGGGTATAACATACTTGGACACACACATACACACACACACACACACACACGTTTGCTCATGTGTACTCACAGACACATGCACTTGTATATGCGTGCGTGGGCACATGCACACACACACACACACAGCGACAAGCACCATCTTTGCTCTGACACTTGATCTACTCAATTGAACTGAAAGTTGTCTTTTTCAACCACAACGCGTGTATTTATTACAACTATACAAAGAAAGAGCACTAGATAAGACACCACTCCATGTTTGTGGTTTCTGTGGAGAATGAGGACCCCCCTGGCCAGTAAACCATACCTGTATTGTCCTGATAGAGGTGTCTTAGTGCTATTCCAAATTGTATCAATAGAATGTAAGTTGAAGCACCTTCTGGTGTGGGGCAACTTTTGGGTAGTGGACACATCATGCTATTGTACAGAAAAATATGATAATAGTTTTATGTACAAGTAAGCACTAGTGTAATGAGATGCCATTCTGAGGTAAATTATACTTTTTTTTGTTTGTTTGTTTTGTTTTTGTGTTGAAATTAAGAAACTGGGAAGGCAAGATTGCTAATTTTTTGCAATGAACTCCCTGTAACAGGACATTCAAAACTGTATCATAAGAGATTAATGATACATAGTTATTGCAACAAAGATTAACGCAGAGTACGTATAATAATACTCGTCATTACAATGGCACTTTTGTCAAGTTAAAGCACTTTGATAAAAGTTGACAGCAGTATGGATTAGTCACCAAGTTGCAGAGGCCAGTCACAGTTACTCATAAGCTTACCTCATTGGAACTTGTAGGAAATGACTGATAAAGTGAAAGTGAAACTGATCTTGATTAGCACATACTATTATGTGTAAGGGTCCTATGATTTATTAGGTAATTGATGCTGTCTTTTAATTAAAGATGCTTAAGGTAAATTATTAGCGTGAAGGTCTTTGGGGATTGATAAAATTATGGAGGTTTTTGCCTGTTAATTACGGCTGCCCAAGGTGTGTTATTAGTGTACAGGTCTTAAGGGAACGATTAAATGATGTCTGGGAGTTGAAACGGACTTGATTGCAAAGTGAACCAAAGCATAAAAGACATAATAAGAATAATCACAGAAAGATTACAGAGTTATATGAAAATTGATATTGATTTAATTAAGATAAATTTGATACTGGAAGGCTTTTCTTTGTCTGGTGTGACATCAATATTCACAGTGTTTTGAAACAGAAGATTGCTTCCATGAAGGTTTTTGTTTCTGATAGCAAAAAGCTTGTGTTGTGTTCATTAGTATGGCATTGCCTGTGGTAAGTTACCACAACTCTGTCAGATTTTCTAAAAGAAAAATGACTTAGTAGTAAACTTAGTGCTCAGTTATTGAGTTGTTTTTTATTCAAGGTACAATTTATGAGTTCAGTTTAAAATCTTCAATATAATCATGAATCGTAGAATTAAAGGTATGAAATGTATTACATTGGATATATTGGGTGTCTATGAATTGACTTTATAGATTTAAACTTTGTGTGTTTTTCTCATCTTTTTAGAAACCACTTCACCTGGTTACAGTTGGACAGGAAGGTGCTAGAACATGATTTCCCAAAGAAACAGTCCACAGGGACGCTGATCCTTTACTTCTCTGTCAGGTAAGCTAAAACACAACTGATCCTCTACTTCTGTGTCAGGTAAGCTAAAACACAACTGATCCTTTACTTCTCTGTCAGGTAAGCTAAAACACAACTGATCCTCTACTTCTCTGTCAGGTAAGCTAAAACACAACTGATCCTTTACTTCTCTGTCAGGTAAGCTAAAACACAACTGATCCTTTACTTCTGTGTCAGGTAAGCTAAAACACAACTGATCCTTTACTTCTCTGTCAGGTAAGCTAAAACACAACTGATCCTTTACTTCTGTGTCAGGTAAGCTAAAACACAACTGATCCTCTACTTCTCTGTCAGGTAAGCTAAAACACAACTGATCCTCTACTTCTGTGTCAGATAAGATGTACATAGTACGTGTTAAATATCACAGATAGCATATTCAATAACCACCATCCATTTATCAAGAGTGTTTAAACTTAATGATTTGTATTAAAAAAGACAATCTCTCCAGCTTGCTAATTTTTTTTTCTTTTCTGAAAGGACTATTCAACTAGTTTATCTTCCTGTCACGTAGATAATCTTATCACCTTTTTTCATCACACAACAAATTCCATTGCCCTGTACATAATGTTTTGTGGTCGGGTTGAAGTATTTCACACCTGGATTGCAAGGCCTTATCTGCTCACATGATTAGAAACATGAAAAGTTTCTACTTCAGCCTCAGGGCTTGAATTTTACGAAATAACTTCGAACCGAAAGTTTCTGTCTGTTATAATTCTGGATAGAACTGCAGTCCACTGAAAAAAATGTTCTGAATGGTCCAAAATGTATGTTGATTCTTTCCTTTCATAGAGTAGACACAATATTTAGTTCCTGAATGGAAATATTTCCCTTTTCTGAAAATGTCACACTTAATGTCAAGCTAACAGTACTGTGTATCACTTTTTAAGTTATTGGGAGTGAATTACATTTTTTGTTGATTTCCTTGGATGTGGGGGTGGAGTTTAAACACCACGGTTTCAGTAGATAGCAAACAAAAAGGAAAAAAGTAAATGGTGATTGGATTTTAGTAAAATTGTGAATGTTATTAAGACTTCAGACAAAATTCTAACAAGGGTGTACAAGGTGCTCCAAGTCCTGAATCTTTTGTGATGGTAGTTATTACCTGTTTTACTAATAAGAGGTTGGTTGTTACTTGCTAATTGGAGGGATATTACCTTAAAGTGAAAGTTCTCCCCCTCTTCCTATCTCTGAGTTTTGATCTCCATAAGAATGCTATGGGCTAATCATCACTCTACAGGTACAAATTTAAATATGCAGGAAAAGGGGGATTAGCTGCCATTGGGGGGAGGGGGGGGGGGTGAGAGAGAGAGAAAGAGAGGGGAGTTTTGCTTTGAAAAATGCCAGATACTTTCAATGTTTTTAGCCTTTAAAGACCGGCTTTCAGTTGAATGTAATTGAATGAGATTTAATAATAAAAAAAAAAAAA